ATAATATCTTTAATTTAAATTCTATAAATAAAGAAATTAAAATTTTTTTTTATAAGATCTAATGTCATTTTAAATTAATCAAAAATTAATATAATTATCGAAAATTAATAAAAAAAAAAAAAAAAAGGAGCACCCCTCATCATCATCAGTAATAAACTTTGCAGGGTAGAATTCACATCACTTTTCGATAAACAAAGTATCTACCCAAAAAAAGGTAAACCATTTCCCGCTTCAAGATATTAATCTGTTCTTAACTTCTTATAAATCCATTTTATTTTATTCTTTTTTATCTTATAAATAGAATATTTTTTTTCTTTTAATCTTTTTTTTTTCTTTTTCCATCTACTATATATAAGGAACAATGGTCGGTCGTAAAATCCCCGATACTCAGCTTCTTCCCTCAGCTCCTCCGTCCTCCTCCGATCTGAAAATACTCCCACTCTAATCTATAGCCATCGCCACCGTGTGTCTATCTCTTCCTACGCCGTCTCTTTCCCTCTATTTCCGTTTTTCACTTTGCGATCTAACAAAGTCCGTGAGGTTTTCGATCTCTCTATCTATTTAATTTCACACCTTTACCTGATTTTCTCGCTAGGGTTTCTCAAAAACGACTTCATACTTTTCTCGTAGGAGTCAAGTCATTGTTCACTGTTTAAATTCATTTTTGGTTCTATATATGAATGATTTCTAGGTTTTGTTTGTTTGCCTGGACACAATCCTAGGAAAACAATCCAAAAGTGGTCTCAAATGTTTTTTTGGGTTTACAGTCTGTTTGTTGCGATTATGTGTGGCGAGATTTTGGCTACAATTTTGTTAAACCTGTGTTTTGGATAATTTGTTTTGAGTTGAATTGTGTATTGCTACGTTGCAGACCCCGTACTGCTCTTTTTTGGTGTTAGCTTGCACATATTTGTTTCTGCATAGTTGTTATTTCGGTTTTTTTGGTATTGGTAACTCAGTATTGTAATTAGTTAAAAATCTTCTGAGGATATGAATGCTGGTTGGTGGTTGTTAAAGTATGGGAACTACTAGCACTTCTTGCTAATGGGATCCATAGGACTAATCTGGGGATGGGGTGTTCTTCTAGATGCTGCCAATGATTTATGGTTATCAAGTTGAAGAAACTGTTCGACAAGACTAAAAGCTGTTTGGAAGTTAAAATTTCTGTTTATAGAGTGAGCAAATGATGGTGGAAAATACAGAGGAATTCTTTATTACAGAAAATAATGGGAATAAGCAAGCTTGGCTTTAGTATGGTACAATTAGGGGAACTATCTAATGTTGCCAGCTTGTGAATGTTGCTTTGGCTGTAGAATAGAGTGTTCTCAGGAAAGAAAATAAAGAAATGATCCGGTATTTGGTCCATGAGAGATAGAATTGATGCAATCATATGCTTTATGTCTTGAATCTCTTGATGTATGGACTGACTACTGATACTTTAAATTGCTCAAATAGATTAAAAATTTATGGGAATATCCTTACTTGTTCTGTTATTTTTTCTTTCTTTACAAGCCAAAGTAGCTAGTTTATTGATTGTTGCATATCCTGGCTATTTGCTCAATTTGCATGGCAACATTGGCAGTTAGGTTAATTTGAAGATTTTATCATTCAAACATTTCATGTCTGAATTGGTTCAATGAGAGTAGAAAATGCCCATTTTTCATGAGCCATAAATTCTATGCACAATTAATCTGTGTAATATATATGGGACTGGATTTATTCTGCAGGAGATTGGATTTGGTATTGCTTCTCTGGAATGATAGACATACACATTTACATGTATGTTCTATATGTGTTTAAGCTAGGCATACAAGTGGTTTGTGCATGCAAATAACTTAATGTAGCTGAACATTTAGAAGAACTATATACTTTTCTGCAATTTAGTGGTTGTTTTTAATCAAAATACAGATATTGATTTTGTTGTAGGTTTTTATGTTTAGGCACAACTTCATAGAAACCTTTTTTTGATTTGTGTTTGTCTGTTGCAATATATGTGGTTGATTCAATCTACTTGTCCTTTTCTTTTCAGGCTGTTCTCAGTTTGTTTGGATGACATTGCCAAAAAATTTGAATTATGACGTCAAGTATGCTATCTGGAGAGAGGAGGTAATTTATTCTTTAAACCTCAAAATTGTTTACCATCTGGTTAAAAAATTAGCGATCACAACCCAAATTGATAACACAAGATTAGGGATGACTTGCTTCATTAATATTTTATTATTAGTTAATGAGTGAAGTTGGAGAATGTTTTTGTTGCACCATTTGCCTCTTTTTTGCTTCTGATTTTGATTTTTGAATATCTGTTAGAATGATGGTATGGGTTCTTTTTGGTTGGATAATATTCTTCTATATTTTCTGTTTTCTAACAATCAGTTTGTCTATGTTCTTGACTTGCTTCCTGGGTATAGGCAACTAGGAGATAAGGTGTTAGATCAATTTTTGTGCTATGTTTCTTAAGCGCTTTTTTCATTATTTTTCTTTCTTTTCTATTTTTTTTTTAAATTCTTTCAAGTAACAGTTTATAATTCAGCCAGGTATGGGAATGGCATCATCAATTATCTTGCATTACTTCTATGTTGTCTCTCATATTTTTGCATGACCCAATTAGGGAATTTATACTCATCTCTATATTCAGCATCCTTCCCCTCGCTTCATTTTTTGTTGGAAAACTTCAGTACACTCTATCCTTAATGTAAATGAAATTTGATGAATGTCCTCATTGTTATATGCATGTGTTTTTTGCTTCCTCGTCCAAATTCTGTTCTCACTTTGGAGGGTTGTGAATTATGCAATTCTAACAGTTGTTGGTCCTTTTTTTTTTTTTTTTCTGGTTGGTTGAAAGGCAAGTATTATAGAGTACTGGTGGCACTCAAAATGCAAAGCAAAGAATATCCTTATCAATACTAGTACTACATGACTCTAACTGTTCATGAATAACCAAAGGTGCTTATTAATTAATTAATTGATTGATTGATTTTTATTTTTATTTTGTTGCAGATGGGCTTCTGCAAGAAGAAGTGGCATGACTGTTTTGGGGAAAGTTGCTGTTCCAAAGCCAATTAACTTACCCAGCCAAAGGTACATGTTTCCTTTCATCTGCTTTCCATCAGCTGGTTAAATACATTGACATGGTTAGTTTGTGCCTCTTAAACTGGTTTTCTGTCTCTCTGGTTTCAAGGTTAGAAAATCATGGCCTGGACCCTAATGTTGAAATTGTTCCCAAGTGAGTAACAAATCTTTCTGTTCTGGTTTTTCATGTTTCCCTATTTTCATGATTTCTGTTATCTTAGTATATAAAATTTTCCAATTGTAGCCATGTTGATTTGTAAATCTTTCTTACTCTTGATAGGGGCACACTTAGCTGGGGCAGTAAGTCATCTTCTTCGTCAAATGCTTGGGGATCATCAACTCCGTCTCCAAACACTGATGGTGGTGGTGGTTCACCTAGCCATCTGAGTGCCCGTCCTTCATCTGGTGGCAGTGGCACACGGCCATCAACTGCAGGTAGTGACAGAGCCCAAGAACCTGCTAATGCATGGTGTTCAAATTCTAGGCCGTCATCAGCCTCTGGGGCAATTACTTCCAATCAGACATCATTTGCATCTTTGCGTCCTCGTAGTGCAGAAACAAGGCCTGGTAGCTCTCACTTATCCCGGTTTGCTGAACCTGTGTCTGAGAGTTCAGGGGCCTGGAGTGCAGCTGGGACAGCAGAAAAATTGGTATGGTCCTGCAGTTAATCAGCTAGTTTTGAAAAATAGCATATTGACAAATATTGGCAAGTTTTCTATGCTAAAAATTTGTAATTGTTAAAAAGTGACCCTCGTTGACCAAAGTACCATCTGGGATTACTGTCACCGTACTTTTTCTTACGGCCCCACTATTCTTTTTATTTTTAAATTTTTTCTCATGTTTGTTAAATTTTTACGGATTGCTTTTAAGAAAGTCCTACATTGCCACAATAATTTTGGTTTATTAAAAATAGTTATACAATTCCATAATCACAATAATAGTTTCATTATGTTCTGTAATCCTAATATTTTCTTATTTTTTGTGAGATTGCTTTTATGCTACTTTCTCTCATAGCCAGAGCACTAAACAACATTCCCAAACAGACACTAACTATTGGAGTCTACTAGGCAGTATTTCATAGTGGTCTATTAATT